CTGTAGACGCCCCCAGATGTTTCTTGCCGTGGCAGTGGGCCTTTCGGTTTCATTATTTGACGCTTTATGGTTGCCTCCGGCCTGTGTGCGGCCCCAACTCCGCGACGGATATCGAAACGTCAGGCGCATAAGGGTTTTGTTCCAGCGATCGAATCTTCTTCTTCTCAATTACTTCCTGGGACTCGCATGTTAGCTTTTATTGGCAGTGATTGAATTCTCGGTAAGACCCTACACGAAGATAACGGTGTTCAGTTTGCACCGGGACAAGGCTGACTACGTCAGTGATGTAGCCTTACTAGCTTCAAGCTTCAGTCACCTGCAGTCTATGGTGTCACAGTTTGATTAGGTCGCTAATTCGGTCGGTTTATCAGTGCATACTGGGAAGACCAGAGTGTTTTCAAACGGCATTCCGGACCAGGAGAAAGCACTTCTCGAGATTGGTGGGAATCTACTTGGAGAAGTTCACAGTTTAAAACACCTCGAGCGAGGCTGCTGTCGAATGGACAGGGTAAGGACGACACTTTCTTCCGAATTGATACTGCTCGCTGGGTTTTTAGCAAACTTTAGAAAGCGCTGAAGGATCTTACACGGCATCCCCATCGCCAAGACGGTGCACTTATACTGTGCACCTGGAGGATGAGCGAAAACTGAAGGTACTTGACTGCCACCGTTTGAGACAGCCCGAACTCGCTGCTACAGCATCACAAGGATATCTCAGGTCATCCAAGAAAGACGATAGATGTGGTTTGGGCCCGTTCTTCATAATAGCCTCACGAGCCCAGTGTTATTGCCCTCGACCCAGCACCGTTACCCAATCAAAGGTCTTAATGAGGGGTTCAACGCACAACCTGGTTCGACATAGTCAGTCAAGACATGTAAGCGCATTTTGGACCCCCGGTATTCGGTCTTCGGCGTTAGCGAAGAGCATGGGCCCAACTAGTCAGATCTGCTGCCGCGGATCGTTACGCGTGGATGGGTACAATTCGAGAAATCGAGACCGGCTATATCAGGCATGCTCTCAGCTGTACCAAGCCCAAGTAAGTAAGTGATTATCCTGTAAGAACGACGAAAACGAATTGGGCACGTACTGCATCGTTCGTCCCCATGTGGTCAATGTTGACTTCACTTATCGATCTGAAGGCGTCGGAGAGGAAAACGTTTCAGAATAGGGCTCACTTATGTCAGTCAAGATACGAGGGTGGTTCTTTGATCCCCGATATTCGGTCGCGGTTGCTGGGGCAGATATTGGGTCGATTTCTCCATATCCGCCGTCGTAGTTAATTACAGATGGAGACGTCATGGAGGCGGGCTATATAAGGCATAATAGCAACCATAAGTGGAACTAAGTCGCTTCGGTATCTCCGTCGTCCATAAACCTGCGTCCTCCCTATGCCGAGTAAAGGACTCCCT